TGCATAAAAATATGATGGCAACATATGATCTGTAGGCAACATTTCACTTATAATTTGCTACAAATCATTGAATCAATTTGTGGCATATTATAATAATCCTTGATGCTAACTAAATGAGCAACTGCAAATAATTGAAAATGTATCTCACAATCATTCCACATAAGAACAATTAGTTGCATGTAAAATATCTATGAACTTGTTCAAATGTGCACACTGTTAGATTATTTAAATCTAGAATCTATAGAAGAAACATTAAACTGATATGAATATATTGACACTCCAATAATGTCAGGAAACATTTTTTCTCATAATTTGAGTGATGATGGTGTGTTAATGATGTCCATGGTCAATTATTAAGGACAAAATTTCTTGATGGACTATAATTATTTTCTGGTTCTCCTTGATATATCAAATTATAATAATTTTTTATGAATTTCTTCCTATATAGGTGCACTTCAACTTCATTTGGGGAAATATATTTTTGTGTTTTGCATTTGTGACAAGAACACCTAATATAATCTTAGCTTGATCCATATATGTTACTTGTTTTCTTGCTATTTTAGAAATTATTCGACGTCCATTATAAACTCAAGTATAAAATTTTCACTATGCATATCCATATTGTTGTTCCTTGCAACATAATGAATTCTGATATATATATATATATATATATATACATCTGCATATTGACACAAAAATTTAATTAAATATTAAAAGACATTGCAAAAAAAATAAGAACATAAACAATATAAAAAAAATTATTAACATACATAAGTTGATTTTTCTATAAATATGATTAATTTACTTTTTTAAGTTTATGTGCATAAATCAATTTAAATGCACTAAATATCGAACCAAATTTTTTATATATAGAAAACATAATGACCCATTACATAAAATATGATACAACATCATAAAAAACCAATAACCAATAATAAATACACATTCTACAAAAATAACTTTCAAATATTTATTATAACTATATTAAATTCACTTTCTTTTTATAGATATAAACTACAATTAAAAATTGTATGTGTATGATATACAAATTAGTTACATTAATTTTAAATAAATAAATAAATAATCATACACATACAACAAATTACTTTTACAAAATTTTAACAATAAGAGCTTTACATTTAAAAATTTTACATTTTTTTTATATATCTATAGCAAATTATTTCAATTACTTTTTATTAATTATTATGTATGATTTGTTATTTAGTTATTTGATATAATAATTTTATTTATATATTTAAAGTATTTATAATTTGTATGTATAAAATGATGTTTTATTTCAAAATTTTATTATTTATAATTATTGTATTTAATAAGTTTATATTTATCTATTTATGTTGAGTTTGTTTGATTTGGATTGATAAACTTTGATTTAAATACTATTTTGATATAATAGTTTGTCGGAAAATGCTATTTACAACCTTCAGGAGAGATTGGTGTCCATGAGCCATGGTCGAAGGCGCAAAAGTCATATTTCACCAAACTTAAACTTAGACGGGAACACCTCGAGGAGACTCTTCTCATAATGTTTCTTGTTTGTTGGCTTTGCATATTTGTGCTTCTGCTTGATGACGTAGGTTTGATACGTCCTTCAACTTTCAAGATAGTGAGCATCCTAGCGTTGAAATTTATGGTAAGCTTGGCCATCCCAGTTTTGACAAATGTTTATAGAGAGCTAAACATGATCGTCGATTCATCCAATCCCAAGAAAGTTCAGACAACATTTTATCTCCACTTTTTGACTAGATAGATCGCCGAGTATTGTGAGACCCACTTCAACATTTGGAAGGGAATCTTCGGTCCAAGGATGGTGAAGCATTTTGGGGCTGTAAGCGCTCGTGCGTATAAAAAAATTTTGCGGTGACTACTTTAGTTGAACTTGAACCATGATCATGAAATATTTCAATGTGCAGTTCATTGATGATGGAAATCGTGAAGACTACGAGCAAGAATACTCCATCTCTATTCTCGTTTGCTTTCAAACTTTGCGGGATGGACTTTGATGTTTTTTGGAGTCGTATAGTCCCCACCGTTTCTGCTGTCAATTTGGTTTTTTCCAAGAGATTCCCAAGATTCTTTTAAAAGACATCCGTTGTTGCACTTTTGAGGAATGTTATTGACATTGGCACCAAAGCACTATCTTGAAGTCTTCAAACAAAGTTATACTTCCACGTATTTATGCAGCTCCGAGGGGATTTTGTTTCTATGTCTATAAGAAGTGGTAGACTCAAGTTTGCGGATAAAGCTCAAAAGACATTGTTGCTTATCATGCGGTGTTTTCGAAAAGAACAAAGGAAATTCAAACAGTCTCAATGTCGGTTCCTCAAACGGGCGGGACCTTCTACCATCGAGAGAAGTAGTAGTGATCATGATGTCTATTGGAAGCAAACTCGTCAAGATCCTAATATTATCATGAATTCCTTAGGTCCCCATTCTTGCCGGCATCATTCCTTGAGCGACTATTCATTTTTTTTCCTTATCCCTTTTTTGTTGGTTGAGGCGAAGGATCCCTTGGCAAGCCGAGATTCCATTGTGGAGCTAATTGGAGAAAACAAGGATGTTTGCAATTAGAAAGTAAATGATGTTCCAACCAAACCCGTGGTGATTCAGTCCATCATTCCTGTGGTTTTGAGAATTTTGTGGCGAAATTTTTTTTGAATTCTATCTAATGCGAATATTTGGGGAGAGTATGGTCGGATCTTCGGGGCAAGCTTTTGAGGACACCAACTCCTTCACTTTGAAAAACTTTAAGTACTCCGACATTTCTCACATTAAAGACCGAGTCAAGGCCCTTTTTGATGATGTTGCATCTTTTGACGAGGCTCATTTCGAATTGACTTACACCATATTCTTGGCGGTCTGCGATCAACCTATTTCAGAGATCAAAGATCGATTATTGCTCTTTGACATGAGGAAGACTTCAGAGAGCAAAACTATCAAAGAATTACAGAAGTGTGTGAAGATTATTGACGTGAAACTTCGCAGTTTACTAGAGTAAAAAAGAGAGAATATTTCCCTTATCGAGCATCGTCATGCCGTCCATAAGAATATCCTCACTCAAATTGCTAAAATTAAATATGAGTTCGCCGATGTAGAGAACATCCCTGCACTAGACGAAAATATTTAAAAAGCTTCAAAAAGTTGTTAGATATTAGCAAACAAGAGTTGTATAATCTTAATGTCTGAAATTATTTTGTACTTTTCATTTTTATTACCAATCAATAAATTTTAGATTTTGTTTTTTCTAACTTTCGTATATATACATATGTGTTTGTTTTATTTATCCATAATTAAAATCTAAGTAAAACAATAATTATTTATCATTTTTTATTTTTCTTTTTTTAAAAAAAAAACAAAATTTTCTTTTCTTCTTTTTATCTGTTTTTTTATGGCTATCATTTTTCGTTTTTTAGGGTCTTTTTTTTTTTTTTACCCAAATCATTTTTTCTTTGCAAGCTATTTTTTTCTCTTTTGAGGCTAATTTCTTTTTTTCTTTTAAGGTATTCGACTGAACATAAAGTTATATTTCAAGTTTCTTACGTACCCAGTGAAGGGATCAAGTCATCGAGTAGTTGCATTTTATTCTCAGTCTAAAGAGTCTTGAATTAATTTAAAAGACTCTTATGTATAATATCTTTTGAGAGACCTCCTGCTGATCGGCTCTATTCAGAGTTCGTCTTAAGATATCAACTTGTACGCGCCATTTGTGTAGACCTCAATGACAACATACGGTCCATCCCATTTGGACAAGAATCAACTTGGGAGATATGGTACATGTCAAGTATCAACTTGGGATCATGTCTTTTAGGAATTTTCACAGGAAGAACCAATTCTCCGACTTGAAATGACCGTGATTTGACTTTTTTTATTGAAAGCTCGAGAAAAATGTGCTTGACAACACTCCAATCTTTGTTAAGCTTGTACTCATTTCTCATTGAGAGCCTTTAAATCTTAGAGTCTTAATCAGGCATATTCTTCAGTCTTCAACCCTTCTTAAAGAGCAATTCTTGACAAAGGAATTTTTCATTCTGATAGGTAGACAACTTCGACTCCGTATACAAGTGCATATGGCGTTGCTTGTGTTGGAGTTTCGAATGTAATACGACAGGCCCATAAAGCTTCACCGATGCGCTCATGCTAATCTTTCTTTGATTTGAAGAGAACCTCTTTTAGCAAGTTGCAAAGTGTTCTGTTGAATACTTCCACAAGTCCATTTTTTGACGCATAATAGATTGAGGACTTATTTTGTAGGAAGATGAACTTTCCTCAAAGCTTGTATATGTGAGTATTGACGAAAGATCTTCCATTATTGGTGAGGATGCTCCGAGGGACCTCGCAATGGTAATGATGTTGATTCGTATGAAGTTTGTGGTTGTCTCATTTTTTACTCCTTCAAAGGAATTGTTTCAGCTCATTTGGAGAAATAGTCTGTCACGGCCAAGATATAAAGATGTCCAACGGATGACTTTGTAAGTGGCCCCACGACATCCATACCCCTAGTATCAAATGACCACGAAGCAATGGTTGGGATATTAGTTCTGGTGGCTTATTGATAAAGTTAGCATAATACTGACACGGTTGACATCTCAATGCAAACTCTATACCCTATCCTTTTTATTCGGAAATGCAGCTTTGGGCCAGCTTGATGAGCTATGTCAACTCCGGCATAAGTTTCCTCCATAGCTTGTTTAGTTTCATGATTGTCAAGGCATCAAAGGAACATGTTGATGAATGACTAACTGTAACACCCCCAGTTGGCTCATACTGGAAATGCTACCGCCACACTGCATCATGAGGTCGTCACCTCCTACTTCGGGCCCCACAACACAGTGTTAAGGCTAAAATTAATTATATAAGCATTTTATTATTTCCAAAAAAACAAGTTTATAAATATTTACAAGAACATACTCCCAAAACGGGAGGTTTTTCTAGTTAGAATTTACATATAATACATCAGATGCAGTTCACTCATTCAGCCCGTCTTTCTATCTCCCGAGACGTCCCCTGTCCCGGAGGTGCCATGCGTACCTGAATCAAATATTTTTCTTAAAAGCAGTCTAGAATTAAATCCATTTTAAGAACTAACGTAAAATATGCCATGTCATGCTCGAAAATAGAGTTTAATTTCCGTCATTTGCAAAATAAATGCCATGCCATGCCCATACTGAAATAATGTAACAATAATGTCAAAATCGACAACTCATGCACATATACCCATATACATATGTCAAAGTGAGCAGCCGGAATAACCTCGGCTCCATAATAACGGCTCACTAGACTATCATCAATAAATAGCCGGAAAATCCTCGGCTCAAGGAAGGACCTGGTAAACCCATAATAATATAACGGTCACCCGGTCACTTCCATATACCCACCATACGACTCCCGCAATCAATACATGGATAGCCGAGCGTTGTCGCCATTAACCACAAGACACCCCATAGTCTGTGATAGCGAAGATAGGACCCTCCTGTCTAGCCCTACCCCGTGTAACGTAGTAGAATCCGTGCAACCTGGAATCACCCGAAGGAAACCCGGAAACTCTACTCCTCCTCGCACGCCCTAACGGGATCGCGTTTGGAGTTTGGCATATGATCCTAAACTACCGGTAGACCTCACTAGTAGCTACTCCAATGAGTGGAACAACACCGAACACGAATGATTAGACCAAATACGTCTCAACTGCAATGGGTCTAATCCCTGAATGACCGTGCGACTAAGTCACCCAGTTGTCCGACTACTATCGTCCACTATCGCCAAAGTGTTACGGTACATCGGGGTCGAATATCCTAACCCCAGATGATGCCCTCGCCTAGCACTACCGCACACGGCGACTAAACGATAGATCCATAAAACATATCCGATAAATCGTGCGATGTGTGCAGCATGTCAATAAGTGAATTTAATGAAAAGGGCTGGTGAGACGGCCCACCTATCCTCCTTTTCATAAATTCACCAACACGATCAAATACGTATATCAAATATCGTAAAACGAAGTTTCACACATGCATATACACACACATATATACATATATAGATGCACTGACCAAATGATTCCACATAATATCATATCAATATCAGAATCAGAATCACATGCAACATAAATACCTAATTTCTTAAAATTAGATTTAATTCCCTACTGCTTACCTCCTACCGATACTTTCTGGATTTTTATAACTTCACCCAAATCTCCTCCAACGTACACCTGTCCCATTATTTACTCAAATCAGATGAGCTTTATGCTTATTCTCAGGAGCTACCTGCTTATTCAAAAGCTAATTTCTATAATTAACTCGTCGGGCTCCAAACTTTTATATTTAGTAGAATATGATATTCTAGCTATAAAATACTTCTACCTCATAATATTTATATTGCCCGATTATTAAATAAAAATACGCAAAGGTATGAACAAGCAGGCAGGTGCAATATACTGCCGTTTTTTATTCGACTTGGATTGGTACGAAATTCTCAGAATATAATACTAGGACTACGAATAGGCTATTAGCTAAAGAAATTCATCGATTAAGTAGCTAAATAGCCAATTTTGAATTTTTGAAGAATTTCTAATTTAATATTCCCAATATTGAAATTCATATTAAAATCCATAATTAAATTCTATGTATAACAAGAAATACAATACCGAAGTCGGAATCAAAATCGGACAGCTAAATCTTTTTCTTCCTTTTTTTTTTTCTTCTCCTTTCTTCTTCTCCTTCGCGTTTCGCTTCCTTCGCTTCTCAGCTAAAGTTTGTTATATATATATAATTATATTATTATTATATATATTATATATATTATATTATATTATATTATTATTAACGTTATTATTATTATTATTATTATTATTATTATTATTATAAATATTATCTTCATCATCATTACTTTTATTATTATATTATTATTATATATTTTATATTTATATTTATCGATATTTATCCGTTTAACAGTCTTTTCAATCATAATCAATATATAAAATAGGAATAAAATTTATCCCAAAATATTAATTTCTTGATTCCATTACTATTGTCAAATATTTATTTGCTATAATAATATTATTTTATACATTCCGAAATCGGGGCATTACAATCCACTCCCCCTTAAAAAGATTTCGTCCCCGAAATCTAAACTCAAACACATAACAAGGCAACTTAATTAAACAATTGTGGGTATGCTTTGAACATTTCTTGTTCTACTTCCCACGTGGCCTCTTCCGCTCCATGTCTGGACCACATTACTTTCACCATACGAATATCTCGATTCCTCATGGTTCGGACCTTTGTGTCCATGATCCACAGAGGCTTTTCTTCATACGAAAGATCTTCATTCAGCTCTATCTCATCTGGAGATAAAATATGAGAAGGATCTGCAACATACCTACGAAGCTGAGATATATGAAACACATTATGGATACGCTCCATAGAATTTGGAAGTGCCAACCGATAGGCCCAATCACCAACTCGATCGACAATTTCATAAGGTCCAACATAACGCGGACTCAATTTTCCTTTAATCCCAAACCTTCTAATACCTTTCATTGGGGATACTTTCAATAAGACAAAATCTCCACTTTGAAATTGACCCTCACGTCGGGCTCTATCGGCATAACTCTTTTGACGATCTTGAGCTGCCTTCATCTTTTCTCTGATAATTCGAATCTTATTTTTCGATTCCTCAATCATTTCCGGACCCAGTATCAGTCGATCACTCATATCGTCCCAACTCAAAGGAGTTCTGCATTTTCGACCATAAAGAGCTTCAAAAGGAGCCATTCCGATACTTGCTTGATGGCTATTATTATATGAAAATTCCACTAAATCCAAGTGGTCTTCCCAACTCCCTTGAAATTCCATAGCACAAGCTCTTAGCATATCTTCCAGAATACGGATAGTTCTTTCTGACTGACCATCAGTCATAGGATGGAATGCAGTACTCATATGCAACTGAGTACCAAAGGCTTCCTGCAATTTTTGCCAAAATCGAGATTGAAAACGTGGATCACGATCTGATATGATCACCTCAGGAATACCGTGTCGTTTAACCACATAATGAACATATAATTTGGCCAATTTCTGCATACTCCAAGTCATACGTACTGGAATGAACACTGCTGACTTGGTCAATCTGTCTATAATTACCCAAATTGCATCTGTTCCCGACTTTGACCTTGGAAGTCCTGTTACAAAATCCATTGCGATAGAATCCCATTTCCAGAGTGGAACTTCTAAAGGTTGTAGCAACCCCATTGGTCTATGATGTTCTGCTTTTACCTTTTGACAATTTAAACATCGTGCAACAAATTTGGCTACATCCTTCTTCATGCCCTTCCACCAAAAATGTTGACGTAGGTCATGATACATTTTATTTCCCCCCGGATGCACTGAGTATGGTGTATTATGAGCCTCACTCATAATCTGCTCTTTCAAATCATTTCGATCCTTTGGGATACACCACCTCCCGTGAAATCGAAGACTCCCATCTGGAGCAATATTAAAATTTTGAGTCTGACCGTACTGAACTTTCACTGCAAGCTCAACCATTTTATTATCTTCCATTTGAGCCGCTCTAATGCGATCATAAATTTCAGGCTCAACTTGTATCATTTGCAAATATCCCCGAGTCATACCCCGTCCAAGTACCTCAATTTCCATCCGCGCTAAATCTTGGCACAGTTCATCAGCAACCGACATGAAGCCCAAGTTATGCCTTGGTTTTCGACTTAAGGCATCGGCTACAACATTTGCTTTGCCTTCATGATACACAATTTCAAGATCATAATCCTTCACCAATTCTAACCATCTTCTTTGTCTTAAATTCAATTCTTTTTGGGTGAAGATATATTTCAAACTTTGATGGTCAGTAAATATTCTGCAATGGGCTCCATAAAGATAGTGTCTCCAAATCTTCAAAGCAAACACAACTGCTGCCCTTTCCAAGTCGTGTGTCGGATAATTCTCTTCGTGAGGTTTTAGTTGTCGTGATGCATAAGCAATAACTCTTTGATTCTGCATTAAGACACATCCCAATCCCTGCTTCGAAGCATCACTATACACTTCAAACTCCTCACCTTCCACTGGTAAAGCCAAAATTGGCGCTGAAGTTAATCGATGTTTCAATTCTAGAAAGGATGACTCACACTCGTGATCCCAGTTAATCTTTGCATCCTTTTTCAGCAAATTAGTTAATGGTTTTGCAACCTTCGAAAAATCAAGAACGAATCGCCGATAATATCCTGCCAAACCCAAAAAGCTTCTTACTTCTGATTGATTGGTAGGTCTTGGCCAATCCAAAATTGCCGCCACTTTAGAAGGATCTACTGAGATACCCTTTCCAGAAACAACATGCCCCAAGAAAGCAACCTCCTTCAACCAAAACTCGCATTTGGATAACTTGGCATATAACTTTCTTGCACGCAATATGTTTAATATTACATGCAAATGTTTTGCATGCGTCTTTTTATCTGGGGAATAGACCAAGATATCGTCAATAAATACCACCACAAACTGATCGAGGTATGGTTGAAAAATTCTATTCATCAACTCCATAAACGCAGCCGGGGCGTTAGTCAACCCAAAGGACATAACCGTGAATTCATAATGCCCGTATCTAGTCCGAAAAGCTGTCTTCGGAATGTCATGCTCTGCAATCCTTAGCTGATGATATCCAGATCTCAAGTCAATCTTTGAGAATATAGTTGCTCCTCCCAGTTGATCAAATAGATCATCAATCCTCGGAAGAGGATATTTGTTCTTCACCGTGACTTTGTTCAGTCCACGGTAGTCAATACATAACCTCAAACTTCCATCCTTCTTTTTCACAAATAAAACTGGAGCTCCCCAAGGCGATGTACTAGGCCGAATGTAACCCTTATCTAGCAATTCCTGTAGTTGCAATTTAAGTTCAGCTAGTTCTAAAGGTGCCATCCGGTATGGAGCCCTTGATACTGGCTCAGCACCCGGCACAATATCAATAGTAAAATCCACCTCACGAGCTGGTGGCATACCCGGAATGTCATCAGGAAATACATCAGGAAAATTTCGGACTACAGGAATATCTTGCAATCGCTGCTCCCCTTGCGTCAAATCTCTTACCTCACACAGATACACTGGGTACCCCTTACGAATAAGTGATTGAAATGATAGGGATGAAATTACCTTCATAGAAGGTTGTCTGGCAGATCCCGCATAATTCACCAGTTCGCCCATCGCTCCAACCAGCGAAATTGATCTTTTTCGACAATCAAATTGAGCTTGATATGCCACTAACCAATCCATCCCCAATATTACATCGAACTCGGATAGCTTGATGCCCAACAAGTTAGTAACAAAATCAACCCCTTCAATACTAACCGGAATCTGCATATAAAGCTCTCGGCATTCCAGCACTTCTCCTGATGGAAGTAAAACTTCCACTACCACTTCTACTGATGAATTCAGACCCAATCGTCTAACTAGACGCTTAGATATGAACGAGAACGTTGCACCCGAATCGAATAACACAAGAGCAGGAAAACCGCAAACCAGAAATCTACCCGTTAAAACCTCACCTGGATGATAATCAGCTTCTGCTTGGGTAAGAACATTTATTCGTCCACGCTGGTCAGGTCCTCTGCCTGGCTGCCTAGATGACGAACGTGACTGACTTCGTCCCCCTCGCCAAGATGATCCTAATCCTCTCCCTTGTGACTGCGAAGACGGCGGCTGCCATGGCCTAAACCTCGGTTCTGGAAACTCCCTTGCAGTTGCCACACTTGGACATAACCTGGCAATGTGACCACTACCACCACATTTAAAACATGTCAATGGAACTTTATCACAACGAGTACCTGGGTGGCTTGTTCCACAACGCCGACAAACAGCCCCCGATTGCTGAGACCTCTCCTGACTCGGTCCATTAATCGAAATCCCCTTATACGATGGCCCAGACCTGAACATTTGCCACCATTTCTTTTTACCCTTGGGCTCATCCTCCACTTTAGCTTTTCCCTTATCTCGAACCTGATGTTGATAACCTATTTCCTTCTCACTCTCCTTTTGTCTGACTTCCTGCTTCTGATAAAATCGGGCAGCACGCTCGTAAGCCTCATACAATGAACTGATATCCAACACCGCTAAAGCTTCTTGAATTCTGTGTTGCAACCCGTCTACAAAATGGTCAATTCTGTCTCGCTCACAGGAAAAGTAGTCAGGAACATACATCTCCAACTCATTAAACTTCACAAAATAATCCTCAACTGACATCGAGCCCTGCTTTAAGTCCAGCAATTCTTGCTTCTTCGCTTTTCGAATAT